TAGTAATCATACGACTATTTATGAAACAATTGTAATATTAATATAAAATTTTAAAAGACTAATATAAAAGTTATGCTTAAATATAAAATTATTAATATAATATTCATTAGTAAACACTATAATAGATAATATTCTGCATATTGCGTGACAAACTGTAATAATAACTATTTGCCTATTCTTGTGCTTTTTCTTAAGTCAATGTTTTAACAATAGATAATAATATATGGTTGGGTAAAAATATAATATTTTCATTCATTATAATAAGCATAAATGAAAATAACTTAAAAATTATAGTGAAATATATTTTTAATGTTTGTTATTAGGCTAATAATTAATATAGAAAATTATTATTTATTTCTGTACTAGCTGTAAGCATTTATAAATTCTTCATTCTAAAATAACATGTGATTAAAATTAATTTTTATATTTTGATTTTCAACTCTATCACTATTTTCTTTATACAATATGTCATAATATTTTTAGTTTATTAATTTTTATTTTATATTCTAAAAATATGTTTATTTAACCATTATTGATTTATATAAACTAACTTAAATATACTATTCATACTAAAAAAATACAACAAGCTCATGTTAATAAAACATAAAGCTTTAATCGATAATAAAATGCGTATATAAAGCTGATACATTTGTTAAAATTACCTGTATCATTTATTAGTTCATCATTTGAACAATTATTATGTTTTTATTGAAATCATATTTTGTTTCATGACCATCTTACCACGGTTATTTTACTCAAAATATATAATAATAATTAATGTTATTTGTTCAGTCAAATTTATTTTTACAGGGATATTTTATTAATATACATAATTAATATAAAATATTTTTAAAATTAAATATAATTTTAATTTCCTAACATACTCGTCACTTTGACTCGAGGAACTTTTTGCCCTCTTTCATCAGCTCAATTGCATCATCAAAATCTTTGAATTTCACCTTTCTCATTTGTGAAATGCTAGTTTTAATAAGTTGCTCGTTTAATTCTGATTCGGATAACTCAATGAGCATGTCGCTTTTTTCACGCACTGGCGTATAAATAGCGTAGCGACACAATTCTTTAAGGTCACTTGCTGAAAATGTATCAGTGTTCTTTGCAACATATTGTAAGTCAACACTTTTATCGATATCTTCATCCTTGATCAATTTTTTCAAAATGGCCAACCTCTGATTTTCATTTGGCGATGGTACCTCAAACCTCATGGGCATTCGCCGGATAATAGCCAGGTCAACGTCCTGTGGTCTATTTGTAGCACCAATGACAATTATTCCTGAATTGTTTTTGTTTGACTTTAGGCCGTCCCACAAGATCATGAATTGTGCCTTGATCATGGCTGTAGCTTCGTGCTCATTATTACCTCGTGATCGCAAAAATGTATCAATTTCATCTATGAATATGATGCATGGTTGCAATTTTTGTGCCAATGTAAATACCGCCGTGGCCAATTTTTGTGATTCACCGTATAGTTTATCGGTCATCGTGGGAATTTCCAAATTGATAAACCTTTTACAAATTGATAAGGGTATTTTGCAAATAGTAGTTAAATAAAATAAAATATAATAATAATGGTTTAATATACAGCTATACCTTGAGTTAGCCATCTTGGCAGTAGCCTTTGCCAGCATAGTTTTACCACACCCTGGCGGTCCATATAATAAAACACCTTTCGGAGCTTGATAATATTGGGATTTGTTTCTTAGATGACGATTTATAATGGGTTTTAAAGGCAAAATAATATTTGACTTAATTGAGTCGACGATATGATCTAGGCCAGCTATGTCATCAAACGTGACATCAATTTGTGACGGGTCCACTAATTGCGAGGCTAACTGTATTTCGTAGCTATTTAACGAATCAATTATGTTTTCATGTCCAATTTTTGATAATATTGAATATGCCTAGATAAAGTTGAAACTAATTTATTAAGTATAATATTATAATCAATTAGTTTTATTCAATAAGTAGAAAACACTTTATATAAGCAAAAGTAATAAATTATTATATTGTATTATATCATATAATTTATATTCAATTCTTAACCTAGCTTACTATTAGTAATATCATTTATTAAATAAATATAAAATACATTTTATTTAAAAGATTTTAATTACCTTTGGCGATATATTATTTGATTTTATATCTGAATATTTTACTTTAATAAATAACCATACTAATCCAGTTATAATTCCAGCCAAAAATGTATAAATTAGATATTTTTCCATTTATATCTAAAATAAAAAATAATTTGTTGAAAATTAATTTTCAAAATATTTTATAATATTTGACAAAAGTAATCACTATATAAAAATGTCTGTACAAAATACTCATTTTTGCTTTGATTAGTTACTTGGTTACTTACTAGCTCAATTTTAGTTATGTTTACTAAACCTTGTTGAAATAACAATTATTAACTATTATACATTTAATACTGTTAATATAGCACTAAGAGACATAAACAGATACTGTTTGGCATAATGATTTAAAACATAAATCATATTTATGAAATCATATTTATTTTGTGTTTGATTATTACAAATTAATAAATTACGTTAATAGATATATAATTCACTTTAATATTTTATTACTAAATTATTATATTTATTTAAAAATAAATTACTTTTAATATTTTCAAAAATAACGCTTAACCAACATACGTTAATTCTGCACAGGCATATCCAAAACCTATAAAATATATTGAAAATTATTGTACTTACTTATTGTTTATATTAATTAGCTCTGAAATACATAAAATCGTCGCCAAAATAGTTGATAATGGTTAAATTAAAATTAATATAGGTTAAATATGAGCTAGATCAAAATAAAAATCCCGCTTGTTAAAAATTTATCACAACTTAAGAACCATAATTTATTAATTATTTAAACTAGTTAATTATAATTATTATTAATTTTTATGTAATTAAAAAATA